GAGAGAGAGAGAGAGAGAGAGAGAGAGAGAGAGAGGGAGAGAGAGAGAGAGAAAGAGAAAGAAATAACAACTAGCAGAACAAAATGAAACAAACACATTAAGATTAATTAGGGAAATGAAAAACAATGAAAAAATGTGCTGCTTAAGTTTCACACAGTCTAGTCAATCACAACCAAATTAGTATATTCCATGTAATTTTCCAATGGAGGAAGGAGTTGAGCGCATTTTTGTTTCCAACTCTATTCCGTTTGATATTCCCTTTATTTCGTTGGTGGTGGCATAAAAGTATGGGAATTAATTGAAAAAATTGTGTACGCTTTTGGGGTTAAACTACATCTTGTATGTGTATGATTTTTTCCCTATCGTTTTGCTGTTACACTTGCATTCAGCCATCGGATCGAAAAGCAAATGTCGAAAATGATAACAGCATAAAATGGGATTTTTAGTTCAGGTAAACTGTACTACTATTACTACTATTTACAAAAGGCAAAAAGAAACGCCAAAATCTACATTGATTCCGGTATACCGTAAATAGCTATATAATTGACATTTGACCATTTATTCGCCTTTTTCCTTTCAGATCATGGCTTATTCGATACACGGGATCAATATTGACATTTGTCGTTATGACAATCCAAAAGAAAAAAAACCGTGGCGCCATGGCAAACAGAATAAAATTACCGATTAATGCAGTTATATATGGCCATGGTACAGTGTCAATACTCGAATTACGGATAGCAAAAGAATAACTTGTATATTGCAAAAGTTTGGGCAACTTTTTTTTTTCTGTGCTCCTTTCATTCCTCTGGACCTAATAACAACTAAAAATAAACAGCAACAACACAAAATTGTAGATTCAAAAACTGAATGTGAAACAAGGTACACGTGCTTGCCGATGTTATTTGAAACTCTTCTTTCCTTATCGCTCTCGATTTTATTTTTCCTCAGCTGTTTATTTATTTTTTTCTCCCTTCTTTCTGGTGCAAAGAGTGAACTTGCAACTATATGAATTCATCCCTATTTGCGCCCATTGCGAATGAAATTGCTTGAATGTTGAAAGCGTACCACTATTTTTATATGCTCTCTCCCTTACACACACACAAACACACACACTCTCTCTCTCTCTCTCCCTCTCTCTCTCCCTCTCTCTCTCTCTCTCTCTCTCTCTCTCTCTCTCTCTCTCTCCGGGTGAACACTGAACAGTGGACGGTTTTTTTTTGTTGGTTGGAGCGCTTCGACGGAGAAGTGTCGACCAGGCATGAATGCATTCATGTTATTTGGATGCGAACACGGAATACTCAACATTTTACATATACTAGCAACTATAACACAATTATTATGTACATTTTCTTATTTTTTTCCTTCTTTTTTGGACCATCTTCCACCTCTTCTTCGTCTTTCTTTTACTATTTTGTATTTTTTTTGTCCGTCGTGTGTGTGTTTGTGTGTGTGTTTGTTTGTTTCTTTCTATTTGATCATTTTTTTCAGATTGTGTGTCTGGCTGGCATAAGCGTTACATTGTGTGGTGAAAACCCGTGCAACACTTGCATCTTCATTGTGAAAGTAAGCGAAAAAGACGCTCAAATAAAATTCAAGTGGATGAAAAGACGAGCACAGAAAGAAAAAAAAACATGAAAAAACGCAAACGTACAAAAGGAAATGACTCGGCACCATAGAGCCAGGAAGGATACAGATCGCACACACACATGCATTGCATTGCATTCGAGAAAAGAAAATGACATCGAATGACATGAAGAGAGATGTTGCTAAAAGGAAATATTCGAAAATGAATGAAAATGGATGTCTTGATTGATCTGAAAATGAATTGATTGATCAAATTACCCTCAAAATAGAGCCAATTGCCAAAGTTTTTCCGCAGTGACTACATTTGAACTTGTGCTCACGATGGTGATGTCAAATGTGTCCTAATAAAGCAACTCTATTCGGTAGATCAAATTGGCAATGTTCACATGTTTGTGGTCCACTCGTGTGAATTTGTCGATGATAAAATATTCCACTTTTAGTCGCGATCTATTCGCCACAATGTTCGCACTTTGTTCCTTCCACCAATCGTTCAGATTAGTCGAGGTGTTGAAGCTTATGCTTTTCAAGATGATAATTTGTGTAGAAACTTTTACCACAAACTTCACACGTACGGACGTTTCTTTTCCCGATGATCGAAATCAGTTGAATGTATATGAAAATTAAAATACTAACTCTCGGTTTCGAGCCAATGTCAAATGTTTTAACACAATGGTTGCATTCGTGCTTGGGCTCACGATGGTATTTCCGAATGGTAAATTTTTAACACCCGATAAATTTCATTAAAACTGTAAACAACAAAAATGATCCAAAATAAAAACGAAAAGCAACACACATTTTGAATCAACTTTACTTTAATTTTTATCAGTGGTGATAACTTTCTTTGAATTTGCGATCATCAGGTTGTCAATTAGTTCTATACTTATTTTTTAAATATGTTTCGTAGATTTTAAAAACATGACAATCAACAGTATAGAGATCATTCTTCATCTTCGAGATAATTCATGAAAAAACGAAGCGCTTTGAATCCATTATTCCTAAAGTTTTTTACTTGTGCACCATTCTGAACGAGAAATTCGATCATATCCATATTTTCTGCAAAAGAATTTTTTTTTATTTCAACGGTATTTTATCCATATTTAAAAAAAAAAAAAAAGGTTTCTTACCAGGTCCATCTGCACCAAAATGAGCAAATGCCAAGAAGAGTGGTGTAAATCCCAGGTTGGTTTCAGCATTTATATCTGCCCCTGCGTCCAGAAGCATTTTAGCCGCCGTAATATTGCCTGTAATCACACAGATTTTTTTTAGGTAAAGTATGTAATTTACAATTGTACCAATTTTTTTACCAGAAATGGCAGCTTCATGAAGAAGCATGTATCCATGGTGGTTAATCGTGAGTGTCAACATTTTATCAGATCTGAATGATGTGAAATCAAAATATTTTCAAGATTTTTTTTTTCAAATAACTGGACTTTTGGTCTAATATGTGTTGGTCGAAAGTGCTCTTCGTTATCAGTTTGTTAATTATTTGATTAATACTTACAATTCATCATGACCATTCATTTGAACTGCAGAAATTGTGGTCAAGCACATCACTATGAACAATTTCATTTTTCTTCTTCAAAAATCTCGAAAATATTTTAGCCAATGTGTTCAACAAACAGAAAATGACTGTATAAATGGTATTGAGAATAGTTGTGCGAAGCATATCCACTCGGAATAAAACGAAAACATATAGTCCAGCTGAAGACAAGCATTAGTTAGTTCAACATCGTAAGTACCTTTGTCCCTATGTCATGTTTTTTTGCCTTCATTTTGAAGGTCATTTCAACCTGTCTTTTAGTTTTACGTCAATGTTTCAAGAACAAACAACCTTAATGAACCAACATTTTCATAGAATAGTTTATTGCTTTTGTTGTATCACCAAAATGCATGTTTTTACCTGGAACAACTTCGTTGAGAAGTTTTTTTTAATATAGAACACTCAATGTTCGTCCGTGTTGCATGTGTTGTTATATGCAATGAACAACAATGAAATACAAATGCATATAATTCTTTTTAAGTAAATAAATACGAGCGGTAGTAAAATGTGAACAGAAAAATAGAAAGACAGATGCAAACATATTAGCTGTTTCTATTTGAAAAACTTTGCACATAGGTTTTTTATGCTGTAAAACCTTTCAACAACGGACATACTACGTGCCTTCTAAACGAGAGGAAAAACGATTGAAACTTCTCAAAAAGAGAACATCAGTACAAAGGTGTTTGCGATAACGATTCTATATCTCTGGTTTCGTTGTAAACTGGAAACTGGATTTACTGTATTTTTTTGATTTCATCTAGAGTATTGAACACTCTTCACAAGTGTTCTTAAGACCATTCTGGAAACATCAATACAGTCATTTGCTGTGTGTTGACCACTTTAACTGATATAGTTTCGAATTTTTTTCTATCTTCAGAAATGGAATTATTCTTCAAATCGGTGGTGTATTTTTGCGCGATTCATATTGTGTCAAGCAATTCTATTGGAAAATCGTAAGTAATATTTAATTGATAAACTTCTTGAAATATTCCCACTGAGAAATCCCACTGTAGATTTATCAAACGAAAAATGTTGAAAATTTGATTGAATGCCACGCCAATTGATTATCATAACCATAGCCAAAGTGCGACAATACATTTTAAATGTAAGACTTTTGCCACATTGTAGTCAATGCCATCTCAATTCCAACTCATTGAACCATTGAATATTTTGAAGAATTTTCTTCAATCGTGTGAGGCTTTACTAGAATATACAGCTTCTCTGTGAGCCATTAAATCACGCTAACCAAAGCAGATTGGTGTTTTGCAATGGTTACTCAATGCATTTGCCAAAATATTATGATTTTCGTAGTTGTGTACAGACAACCGCCGTAAAGTTGATTATGTTCTAGTAAAGCAACACACGATTGGAAAAAGTTACCGAAATATACAATGACTCATTGAATTGGTTCAGAGATGTCATAGGCAGTGCTTTGTTGTTCTCGCACTTTATTTAATACAACAAATCTTACAAAGTAAATGAACTTTTTGTTGACTTGCAGATATATAGTTGATGCTACAGATGCAATAAAAGTTATCAACGAAAATGAAAATAATGCAGCGTATGCTGCTGTTAATGGTTTGTTTATTGATGTTTTATTTTCGAAGAAATAATATTTCTAATTGTTAACCTTTGATAATTTTATAGGAAATATTACGACCGTTGAAACTATTGTTAAATCCTTACATTCAAGTGGTATGATGGCGCAGTTCACCTCTCAAAATTTCTACAGTTTTGCTATAATAGTTGCTCTTGGTAATTTTTTTATTTTATTTTTTAAATTTGATTTAGAAAGATGCTAAAATTTATTTAATTTTAAAGCGGGCTCTTCTGAAATGTTACAATTGCTATTTGATAATGGCTTAAAACCCAACGAGCAGCCGGAAAGATCCAGATCTGTGCTTCAGTTCAGCATTTGTTATGACTCGGGTAACTTACGATTACAAGAATTGTATAAAAATAATGCTAATCTATTTATCTAAATTTAGTCCCAAATAAATCAGGACTGGTAAAAACGCTATTTGGAAATGGTGCAACGCTGGAAAATGATAATGGGATGGAGTTGCTTAAATGTGCTTTTCTTTATGGTAAATTTTAAAAACAAAACAAAATTAGGAATATGAATGGATTTGATAGAACCACAAGTCGAGTAGTATCATAATGGAAAATGTTGTCATTTTTTAACCTAAATTTTGAATGTGATTTTGTTTAATATTCACAGGAGAAATGGATGTGATGAAAATGCTAATTTCTAATGGAGTTGATGTAAATGTAAGAGAACCGACTACTAATAACACAGTCCTACACCAAGTTTGCCGAAATTCTGATGCATTCACATATTTTAAATCTGTGCACATCAAAGAAGAAGCAATATTGATACAGCCACTTGAATGGTTGATAAGCAAGGGCTTTGATATCAATGTAAGAAACAACTTGGGATACACGGCGATTCATCAAATTGCATATCGAAGTAAATTAGCTTAATATTCAATTTAAGAAATGCAAAATTCAATGTTATTCATTCACAGGATACATAAATGTAGCTAAAATACTTCTGGATGCTGGCGCTGATGTGAATATCGCTTCAAAGTACGGATACACACCTCTACTGATGGCATTTGCAAGTTTGGACCCTTATGGTAATAGAATAAAATGCTTTTAAAAATTGCTTAATGCTTATAATAGTTCCAAGAAAGTAACAATTTTTTCTTCTTAAATCACAGAAGATATGGATATGATCCAACTACTTATCCAGAATGGTGCAAGACTAAAATATAATAAAACATTTAGAGCACTTCGTTTTAGTATACAATTAATGCAAAATGATGGAGTTGATCAACCCCTAATTTTTTTTTGAATAAAATTTGAAGAATACATCTGAATATGTGCTTCACTTTTGAAAAATATTCCAATAAATCTTTTTTTCTTCACTGAATTTGAAAATCATCTTCTTTATTTCAATTCAACCCTCTAGTGCATAAGTGAACTTATAAGGACAGTTCGTTTAAACGCCTATATAATGAGAACCGTACGTCGGAGCACATTGCTCCAAAAATCATTTTTATTTGTTAAGGTTTTCTCCATCGTTTTGTCCTTTGTACTTTTTGTCTACATCAAGAGGTTATTAAGCTATAAACAAAAATATTCACGAAAACGGAAATTTGACAAAATAAATTATTTGCTTTCCAAATTAGACACATTTTTGACACTTTTAAACAATGGATTTGATTGTTCTCCAATTATGTCTATTCGCGTTTGCAGGCAAACCATGCATTATACCAGATTATAAATATTTTTTTAATTATTTGTGGCTCAAAACCGACCAAGTGCTAATATTCTCAGCTCTAGAAAAAACTAAAGCACTAGAGCGTTAAATGATGATTTGACGTTAGTCAATGGTCTGGAAATTTAGTCACAATGAAATGGTGAGATGATCTCTGTCTGATCTCTCGCACTCAATGAAGTGAGTTACAGACGAATAATATGTTTTACATTTTGTTAAAATCCATTCCAATTTGGTATTTAGATCGAGCCAACATGAAGATTTTCAGAAACACTTGCTGAGAAAGAAGTCATTCCGGATGTACTCGGCTGCACAACAAAACCATGGCTTCTGTCAAAGTATGCAGAAGAACAATTTTTATGCTCTCTTTGAAAAATCATAATTCGAATTTTTGATGACGAATATCAAAGAAATTGGCAATTATTTCGGTGATGGCTTCTCAACACTATCAAAAATAGTTGATTCAATCACGAAATTCATAAGCAAAGACCATAATCTTGAGAAATTGGAACAATTTAAATCTTGGTCTGAAATCTGTCGAAATTAGCATCTATTTGGCTGTGCAAAATGTCCAAAGAAACAATTATTGGCGATAACATTCCTATCAAAAATTGGGAGAATTCTTGAAAACTCTAATGCATAATTATCGCATCAATTTGGCACAGTAACATTATTTGTTAATTTTGAATGGAGAACCATGCGAAGCGCATCCCAAGACCTTTTTTATGTTATTGTACATACTGGCTAACGTAAATCAATTTGTGCAGTTCTCGCTCACTTGCCACACTTTGGTCGGAAGTGTCCATACAAACTATCATGAGAAATGCTAGAAATGGATTATGTATTTTTGTACTCAAACCCAAATGGATTTGATGACCCTCCCTCGTTCTCGAACAACAAAAAAGCTTTTATGGTGAATATTATTAGTGGAGAATGTAATAAAAGACTAAAAGATTTCTAAAAGTTAAAACTTCCATCCGATTGAAACGGTACTTTTAGTTATTATGTATGCCCGCTTCTCTATTGTTTTTGCAAACTAATTTTAAAAGAGAGAGAGAGATAAAGAAACATAAAAATTCTGTCTGCCCAAGATCTGTAAAACGTTAATTTCACTCTTACATCAATTGCAAGTGAAGTACAATATTTGTATTCACTGCATCTTTTTCCACTTGTTGAATGTCGACGGCGGTAATACGCACCGTTACTGTCTTTGTTTATTTATTCGATAACTTTTGTGCGATTGGAGTGGAAGAAAAAATAACAAAATCAGCGTTTGAAATTTTTGTCGTTTTTCTTTCGACTTCCCTACAATGAACAAATTGGAACGTGCTATTTAGTTTTTGTTTTTTTTTTCTGTTTGGTTCAGTTTTTTTGTTATTGTTTTGTATTCGAGCAACAGAACAAAAAGTATCTCATAACATTTGATTTGGTAATATTTTATGTCATTGTATTTGTTTTTTTTTTTCTGCGATAACATATATAGAAAATAGAGACTGATGACCGACACACAATTTGAAAAAGGTCGCTAAAATTAAATTATTCGTTCTACTTATTACATAAAAAACAGCGCACCAAGTAGAGTTTGCCATACGATCTCCCACATCTCTCTCTCTCTCTCTCGCGCTTTTTTGCACTTTCCATTTAAATACAATGCGCTTGTTGCGGATCGACAACACGTGTCAAATTATGTTTATTTCGTGCATTCGTTCTCTTTTCTTAGTCATTCTGTGTAATTTTCTGAAATCGAGTTTCAAGGCAAAGGAAAAATGAGTAAAGAGCAGTCAACAAAAAAAGAGTATCATCTGGAGAATTTTCGTGCAACTCGCAAATAAAATTCTCTAGCGAAAATAATTCCAATTTTTCGTTTCATAAAGCAATAAAATGTAACGAAAAAAAAAAATTGGAAAAACAACAGCAACCATTTGTTTTTCAAATATTCTCTCAAACTATCAATTTCTTATACTGAAAACTGATCAATACAGCATTAATAACGGCAGCAGGTAGTTATCATTATGTGGAAGTTGCTATCTTGAAAAAATAATCAGGAGAAATGAAAGAGAGTAAAAAATTGATCCAAGTAGTAAATATTATTTGCCATATAGGCGAATACGATACAGAAAATGCCACGTTTTTTTTTCTAAATCTCAGCGTACATGACAATTTTCGAATTCTCCGATGATAATTAGTACAATTTTAGCCAAATACACATTTCTGTTATTATAAAAAATGTAATATTTATAAAAACTTAACACAGTTTTACGTCAACAAATTCAGAAAACATATTGCAACACGTTCAAAATGTTTTAAACAATCACGTACATATGGAACTTTGCGACTAGCTATATGATTGTTCTTTGCCTCAAAATTTCAGTTGCATAAAGTACGTCAATAGATCAACCTAAACTATAAACTAGTGTAATTTGGTGTTCTCAGTTTTGGTATATGTTTAGTTCTTAAACATGAAGAAAATTCTCTTAGCATTGTTCTTGGTGATGGTACTAAATAGAAGAGAAATCGATACTGCCGGCAGTATTGCCAAAAAAGGTGTGTTCTAATGATCAAGTTGCGTTATATTTATTGTTTCTCATATGTTTTAAATTTATCAGTTTGCGAAAAAATTCGTAGTGATACGAAAACTTACTGGAGAGTCGCTGGAGAAACGTTAGAAGAAAAAAAGGACTTCCCATCGATGGTAAGTTTTAGTTTTTTTTTTTCATTGCTTTTTCTTCTTTTCGATTTCTGTCGTATTAAGAATATATTTTATTCACCGAAAATTGATTTTGTGCTGATTCACCTAAAATTAAGATATGATCCACAATGATCCTTTCTGGGCACAGAACAGAAATGAAGATCACACGAAGTCGTTAAATGAGGAGTTTTACATCCATTGTACGGAGAAAGCGAGACAGAAATCTTAAAATCTTGATCTAATTTGTGTCGCACTTCTACCAATGTTTGCGTGTTATTTCTATTTTCTCTGTTCTTCCAAATTGAACGGCAAAGTCCCAACCACGAAAAACACATTTTTCGTGTTCAATACATATTTTATTTCTTTTTTGATGTTGCCAATTTAAGAATGAATACTAATCGCTAACTTGTTTAACGGAAATTGATCGTTGTGTGCAATTTTAGTTGTAGAAAGTGTTTCGACTCCAACGCAAAAAGCCAGCATATTGCCGTTGTTTCGGTTTTTGTATTCTTCTTTCATTCAAGTGGAATTGTTCGGAATTGACTTTCATTTTCATTGAAATAGTGTCTAAATTAACATAAATCATAATTGTTTCCGACATTCGGTTTGATAATTTCATATTTTAGCGAAACAGATTCGATTATGCATATTCTTTTATTTTATTTTTGAACATTATGGCGCATTTATTCTCCTGATTTTTTTAATTCTAGGGTGCAATCGGTATGGTGGGGGGGAAATGGATGACACCACATTTATTCGACAGTCTTAATAAATGGCACTTATTTGTTGACTGCCAAGCATTGCTTCTTTAACCCAAACACAAATGATGCGATTGAAATTGAATTGCTTAAAATAAGACTTGGAGTTGTGAGTAACAAATTCTATCTCATTGATTGTGATCACAGGGAGTTGAGAGTTATAATTTTTTTACATTCATTTTATTTACCTTAGAAAAATATACATACATCCACAGCATACACGGACTACGAAGTTGAACAGCTTATCCATCATGATGAAGCAGATTTAACAATCGTAAAGTTAAAAAAACACCCAGTCAAATCTGCAGCAAATTTGGCTTCTTGTATATATACAAATGAAGCGGATTTTAGTTCAAAAGAAGAGTTCGTATTGGCTGGCTATGGGGAACAGGCAGAAAACAGTATGTATAGTTGATGAAATATTGAATATTTTGGGTTTTGTACACCAAAACCCACTTCCTTTCTAATTCAATATCATGTAAATTTTGTTTTCTTTATAGATTGGTCAGGAGATTTGAAAAAGGCCAGTTTTAAATTGAAAAAAATAGAAAGCAGGACCAGATGGATTCTACAAAGCACCTCAAAGGTAAATGGTGCCTGTAGGGGAGACAGCGGTTCAGGGTTGTTCTTCGGCCAAGGAGAAAATCAATCACTTATCGCCATACTGATTAAAGTTTACCCCCATAACTCAGATATACACTAGGAACGGAATCAGAGTTTGCAGTGGTTCCGATTATTCCATTTTTAGAATGGATTGAACCAAAGGCATTAGTAAACGCATGAAAAATTTATTCACTAAAGAATTGCTACAGAAAGGCAATTTGAAAGCATAAAATAGTTGTTTTCCATTTTTGTCATTGTTTGGTTTTTGAATAAATGCAGATATATGCACACCTTTTCGAAACTAAAAATATTTTGCGTGTAGTTTTGAT